CTTCATATTTTCTTTTTGGACTTTCATTTTTGATATGCTAAAATATAGTCATGGTAAGAGACTATCAAATAGTTTTATTGTAATAATTTTCATTTCAGTCTAATTTTCTTTGATAGTAATTGTGTTTCCTCATTAAAAATACAGTAAAACTAAGGTTGTATTTCTTTTGTGTGTTCATATCATATGTTTTAGAAATTTTATTTCTTTCCTTTTTTCATTATCTGTCTGAAAACCTCTGAGTGGACTTTTCTATCTTCAATGGGAAGACCTTAACGACCCTTGACCGAACACAAAATCTTAAGAGTAGAGCATACAACTATGTGCCTGAAACTGCTAACAGCTCATTTCTTTGAAATATACTCTATATGTTCAATACAGTGAGCCATGATTTAGGCAAAGAAACCAAAGTGACTTAAGTGACTTGCTCTTTGCCAGAGCAATACCCACTGGACCATGTTTGGTTCAGGCAAGAGACCGGACATTCTGCCGATGACAGTCTTTCTTATACAGACTGCTTCATTCAACCACAGTAGTTCTTTGAGCATGGGAAACAATGAATCTCGTTCCTTCCATGATCCTGGAACTCTGTACAATTAAGATCACTATTTGACATAACTAAAGATAAGCTTCTAGCATGGCACTCTTCTGTAGTTCAGATCACTGTTTCTGCAGGGCTGTCTTCCCCTGGGACGCTGTGCTGGGATCAGGCTCTAGATTCCAAGCACTTCTAACCCCTGGCGTGGTTCTGAGCCCAGCTTGTATGCCCTGCTGATTTCTTGCTCTAGATGGGCTTGTGGCTGGGACTTGATTTGTCTTCCTCTACCACAGTGTCAAGATCAGAGGGAGCCTATCATTTTTATAGGCTTGCATTTAAAGACACGGATAGCAATCGTGAGCTCTTTCAGTCTCTAAGGATGCTGGGGCAATGAAGTTGTTCTCGTTATCCTCAACAATATTCGAGGAGAGCGTGTGAATAGTTTGTCTTTTAAAACAATCAAAATTTAATCTCAAAGTTCTTCTTGCCACAAGTAATGGGAAATTGGCCCATGAAAGAGCTGGCTCCGATTCTGTGACACAAACACTTGTCACTTAGAAGAATTTTCTGAGAACTACAAATGTGTTGGAAGGATAAAACCAACAGGTATTCCTAATTCATTTCCCACTCAACACCTAGCCAGGTATTTTGGTATGAGACCTTGGTATTGTCATGCGTGTTGAATGATTCAGTTAAATTCAATCACACAGAAAGGTTATTCATTCGCGGCACAAGCTACTCAGTGTTTGTAAAGTTCCGGAATTCATTATGTCTCATCCAGCATGGCAAGTAAATTGATAGAAAATTAATTGGAAGATAGTTCCCAACAAAATAGCTCAGCAGAAACATCCAGAATCAATTAATCAAACCACAGCTCATTTTAATTGGACATACTCTAACCCTGGAAAGGCACGGCAATCTTTAATTAAGCTTTCAAGGCCAATCCTATCTACATGAGACATGCTTCTCAGAAGAGTTCTGTGACTGACTGGAAACCCAATGGTCCAGTTACAAATCTTCAAACACATGCAATGCAGTTATGTCTAATTAGATATGATGTTTTCAATAAAGGTAGCATTAAAATGAGTTTATTAGGTAAACATTAAACTCTTTGAAAGTGTGGAATTAAGAAGTTCTAGTTTCAAAGTTAGATGTTCATTACTATGACAATACTTTTATTGTATTTCATATTATATATGTATACACATATATGTTAATATGTTTTCTGTTAGTTACTCTATACTGTAGTATTATGCTAGTGTTTATTTCTGTATATACATTAGCATCAGGTAGTAATTGTGAACATTTCTCTCTGAATATATTAGCAAACTATTAGCTCTATGAAAACAGGATCAAATACATATACTTTTCATATTTCCAGTATCAGATATGGGATCCCACAAAGAACTGCTCAATAAGGCACAGAGAATATAAACACAGTTCATACCAAAGATGACCTAAGAAGAAAATGGAAATGTTTTCTTCTTTGACCTAATTTTGAAGTTGGGAGAAGTAAGACTGCCTTGAGATAATGACCACACATATTTTAAACTAAATGTGTTTATTCTGTTATTTCCTCATTATACCCACAAGTGTCTATATGTCTCTAACTTTTCTTAATGCAAAATAAGTAAGAAAAATTAGTTAGAATAAATGAAAATGGACTATATTTAGTTGTGGAACCTATAGTTGCTTAGTTATTTATGCTATTAGAAGAATTGAAGAATCCCCCGATTTACAGTGATATCATATAGCAACAGACAAAACAAGGTGATTTTCCATTAGTGTATGCTATGAAATATGTACCCTATGGTTTTATATAATGTAACGTGAAGGAATTAAATTACACCCAAGATGAAGCTCTAGCCCCTCCAAAAGGTTCCCATGCCAAGGGTAATTTGGCATAGATGGTAAGAAAACTCTAAAATCTAGTAAGAATGCCAGAAGAATTGTGGGCAAAGAGATTAAGCCTCAGGTGTTTACTGAGTTAAGTTAGCAAATAGGTAAGTTAGGCAGGTATGAAGCCAAGATGAATAGCAACTTGATGTAGAAAAAAGAGAAATGTCCTAAGAACATGGGCAGGGGAGAGACTTTGAGAATTGCAGAAGATTGTTCAAATTTGGTAGCATTTAAACACAAAGATTGTTAGCTGTTCTAAAATTTTGGATAAAATCAAAACCTTCTTTGACATACCCAAAAAGAATGCCTAGGGCTTTGTCTCTGTTCTCCTAATAACATAAATAATAGCTAAGGAACTCTAGGTTCAATGACTAAATATAGTATATGAGAGAGAAAGAGAGAGAGATTTCAAAATGGTTTTCCCCTTTTCTTATTCTATATATAGTCCCTTACTACCTATAGTATTGTGCCACCCACATTCAGGGAGTGTCTTCCCTCTTAGTTCTTACTTCCTAGAAACATCCTCCCAAACACACCCTGAGGTGTTCTCCATGTCTCAATTCAATGGACTTGATAATATTGAAAACTGAACTCTGGAAGCTGTTGGGCTCTATATCCCACTCTAGTCCCTCTGAAGTTACAGGTGACAAATTTGGCCCAGGCCATCTGAAGCACTATGTGTCCTTTGCTGTAGAGGCATGCATGACATAAAATGAAGTTTGAATTTATATTAAAATTTTGTTTAAAGCAATCTGGATAGAGGTCATTGCATCTATAAATTTGATTTCTAAGTAGTGTGAATGCTCCTGAAGGTAAACATTCTTATCAACTCACTCTTCACAATCTCTCATTAATAAGCTATTACGAACTTATTCAGAAATGCTCTTTGATTTTGGCCTTCATTCTTTATCTCAGAGACCCAAGCATCTCTATGGGTCAAAAGCTGACCCTCCTCAATTCGGGGAGGAGTACCCATCTCCCACTCTGATATTATGTGATTGAAGGAGTGAATGGAAGGGTGAATACAGTAGTGACTGGTTGTTGCACAGTTGTGATGTGTCAAGCATTTGTTTCTATGTGCTATGTAGCAGTGACTGAAGTAGCCTGTCTGATGTGTATTCAGATAAAGGGATATATACAGAGCAAACTGTTGCGACGTAAAACTCCATAGATAATAATTTTTTGACTTCTTTAAAAATCTGCACCAAATAATGTTGAATCGCTGACAACAGTGAGGGTCTATGGGTTACTGTTAGATTGAGAGGCAGCTATGTCCAGGTCTTTTTTGGACAGTCCTATTGAGGTATCATAGATGTAACTTCCCTGTGGTTTCTAAGAAACACAATCTCAAAGACTTCCTTGTACCATGACTTTGACAATCTCTCACTCCCCCTTTTCTGTGATGTTACCTGAGCCTAAGGTGTTAGAGATATAGTTGATGTTTATCCACTGGGTCTGGGCTCCACACCATCTGATGATCTCTGCATTATGACCTGTGGTTTTCTGTAATATTATCCATTTGTTACAGAGAAGCTTTTTTTTGATGTGAGTTGAGAACTTCACTTCTCTGTGGGAATAAATATGAGTTTTAGAATGCAGTTATAAATTAGGAACAATGGAAGTCTAGTAAAGTGATGGTAATAGATTCTCTCTTAAGATTCATAACTTTATCATCCAGAGGTTGTTGGCTGGAGAGCTATTGGTTCCTACCAAAATGGTTACCACTATTGCACCACTATTCCCTCATCAGTTTCCTTTCCAAGTTCTCTTAAAATTAGACTCAAGTACAAAACAGTGAATATTAGGTAAACTTGTAAGAAAATGTAAAATATACTAAAAAGCACAAGAAAAGTAATAAAATAATACTCAATAATCACCTTTTGGTGGATATTAAGTAAAAACCCATCCCTATGAATGTATTACTAAGTATTCCTAAGGTATACTTGTCAAATTAAATTATCAGACTAATGAAGATCAAGATTTTAAGTATATTTGTACATACCATGAATATATGCGTACATGTATGTGTGTTCATATCTATATACACATACACAAACATGCATGCCCATACACATATACTTTTTTAAAAAGGAAATAACAACCCACTAAAACAAAAAGCAAAAGCACACAACCATGACAATACACATTGTTATTTGGAATGAAGATGAAGCATAGTCCTAATTTTGTTCTTTGAAATAAAGAGATGGGGAAAGATGGCTTCTCCAGTGTGAAGCTCAATAAATAATTTTCAGAAACAAGTGTGTGGAGTTAGGCATGGCTCTTTGACAGAGAACTTTTCTGGTAAGTATGAGTACCTAGATTTGATCCCCAGAAGAAACAAGAGAAAAAGAAGCAATCCAAAGTTCAAAGAGTAGAATTTGTGGAGCATCTTTCTGAGTGCTAGTGTTTATCAACAGTTGTCTTTCACAGCTTTCAATTCTCCTCTTATCCTGCTGCTCAGTTCTCTAACATCTGATCACAGGTTTTCCTCTTCTTCATTGGGTCCTTTATTTGTTTGGTCTTTAAGTGAAGGAACATGTTCGCATCTGTAGTGTTTTCCTTGTAGGTGGGACCGCCACCCGGCAGAGGGGCTTCTTAGGATGCATCAGGTCTCTTCAGTTGAATGGAATAGCCCTGGATCTGGAAGAAAGAGCCACAGTGACCCCTGGGGTGCAGCCAGGTTGCAGAGGACACTGTGGTAGCTATGGAAAGTTATGTCGCCATGGAGGAAAGTGCAGAGAAAAGCCCAGTGGTTTCTTCTGTGACTGTTCTTCCTCTGCCTATGCAGGACCATTCTGCTCCAATGGTAGGTGTGCTTTGAGCTTGTATGCCTGTGAATAAGACACCTGGCAGGTGTGTGTGTGTGTGTGTGTGTGTGTGTGTGTATTAACATATTTTTTTGAAAAGTTGTTATTGTATGCCAATCATATATTAATCCTTGGACCTTGAACTCAGTTCTGAAAAAAATACTTGTCTATTCTTAAATAGTCACAAATAGTAGCTGTAGTAATATTTCATTTGTATTTTAGTAAATGAAGCTTGCCTGAAGAATAGAAAGTAAAACACCTCCACTGGTCAACCTTACAGACAGGCAGTGGTGACATACACCTTTATTCCCAGTAGCCACACTAGTTTGCTATAGAAACAGGGCAGTAGTGGTGCATGTTTTTAATTCTAGAACTAGAGAGGGATATAAGATGGGAGGAAACAGCTCTTAGAAACAGTCTAATTCTGAGGATTCCTGGAGGCAGGACTACCATTTCAGACTGGGGTAGGGGTAAGGGAGAGTGGCTGGATGTTTTGCTTTTCTGACCTTCAGGTTAAACCCAAATATCTGTCTCTGAGTTTTGACTAATCGTGCTACAAGTAGCCTTTAGGTGTCTTCAATGCTAGCCATTAATCTACTTTTGCTTTGTCTACTATTAATGTGTTTAAAGAACAGGGATGTCAACAACCTGTCCTATGGAGCAGTTCTTGGTTTTAAAACATTTAACACATCTAATACGCTCCAGAGGGTATTGCTTTTTTGGGTGAGCACGTTCAGCAATGCGAAAACCTAAATAATAAATATGTGTATTTATTTTTCTCATTCAAACAAATATTTTCTACCAAATACTGATGCATAAGGAAATAGTGACACTCTGATACTTGGTGTGTGATAAAATGAATATCTGCCAGCGAATGAAAACAGCAGGGAATTTATTTGCTGCTTCTCTTATTCACCAATCTATGCCACCGAAGAAAAAGAGAGCAGAGTGTAGTAGTAACTATCTGGATCACCTTCTCTGAATATACAGACACATATTATACTCTCATAGTTTTTCATAGAAGAAAACCGACATCCAATTAATTTAAATTCATTGAGTTTGTTGAAGTATCTCTGGGCTTCTTAATCTTCTCTTGAAAGAAGCTAAAAGAAATTGGCTCCAAATCAAAGCAACTTTGCAAAGAAAGCGCCAGGGGTTAGTTAATGAAAACCTGGCAAAAACTACACTTTTTGGGTTATCGCCTTTTACCAAGAACAACCTGTGACTTTGAAATCAATTGTGGTAATAATCACCCACCACTGGTAGTATTCTGGGAGACATTTTTGGTCTGAAGGATGAATTTAAGCCCTTCTTGAGGATGACTTTCCTTCATTTTCTAATTGAAATTTACAGTTCTTTCTAAATATAATCAGGAATGATATGCTACATGCATACATTATACTATATAAGTTATATTATAAATAATACAATTAATATATTGAAAATACCTAAAATGAGATGGGTACTAATGCATTGCTTTATGACCCAGTAAGCACGGTTTACAAAACCTATCAGCAACCAGATGCTTATACTAGCAAAGAGAACAAAGTCTAAGCATTCAAATCTAATATCACCACTGACCTTTTCCATACACATGTATCTGCCTACACATGTATGTAAATTTGAGATATTAACCTTCTATAGGTAAAATGTTATACTTGTTAAATTATTTCAAAAGGGCTGCATAATTTCTTTTGTTGAAACATGCTAAGCACGCACCTCTCTCACAAATAATGCTAGACTTCACCTTCTTTATGTAGTGTGCATCAAATGTGAACGCAGTTAATATAAAATTAAGGTATTTCTGCTTATTGATATTGAAATGGAGGGGGGAAAGTCCTCACTCTTCCAATTTTCCTATCATGAGAGGATACGTGCATTGTACCTACAAAGCAATAGATGGATGTTAGAATTTAAATAAGAAAGTAGATGTTCAGGGAGGACCAAGACAAGAAGCATGGCTTATGTGTGAACTTGCATAAGAGAGCGCTAAGCTTCCAATTGTAAAGCCAGACTAATGAATTAATTGTATGTCATTCTAACATAAAGGCATTTCACAAGCCATTGTGAAAGCTCCATTCATTGGCTGTGTTATCTTAGCCTGGGACTGTTTCTCTTAGCTGTGTACTTCATTTTACAGCATTGAGATGTCAATGAATGTAACTTGAACAAGATCCTTGGTTGTTAAATTTTTCACAGTCAGTCCGCCTATCATTTCAGAGATTTCTGCCTACTTTGGATCTGGATCTTCGGTGGTTTACAATTTTCAAGAAAACTATTCCTTAAGTAAAAACTCCAGCTTCCACGCTGCTTCGTTTCATGGGGACATGAAGCTGAGCAGAGAAATGATCAAATTTAGCTTCCGGACAACACGGGCACCAAGCTTGCTACTGTACATGAGTTCCTTTTATAAAGAGTACCTCTCAGTTATCATCGCCAAAAATGGTGAGTGTGTTTTAGAGGAGAGGGAAAGTTGGATTAGGACAGCGGGTCAGTAGAATACAGTTCCATCTGGGATGCTGGCTTCTAATCTAGAACAGGGAGAAAAACTGAGTATGTTTAGGTTTTCTCTTCTTTTTGAGTTTGAGTAGGATCTTAAAGATTCCTCTAAAAGGATCATTTAGTACTTAACATTTTTTTTTACATCTTTATAATTTTGGTAATTTTGTATCAACTATGTGAGTTTTTTGTTTGTTTCTATAAAATGTTTATATGTGTTTAATATTTTAATTATTTGTGTGTTCATGTGTATGTATCTGTGTGTCTATAGGCTCAAGTGCAAGTGTCCTTGGTGGTGAGAGTCATTGGGTTGAATTCCCCAGAACTGGTGTAGAGTTACAGGAAGTTGTGAGCTGCCTGATCTGGGTGCTGGGAATAAAACCCAGGGCATCTGCAAGAGCAGAGTGTCTACCTAACTGCTGAGTCACCTCTCCATATATTTATATTTTGTTTTTTTGCCAGGAGCTCTTAAGTATTTTATATGACTATTGATACAGCTTTAGTATTCTACTTTAAAATAAAATGTCTCCTTGTATGTAATACAGATTTTCTTCTAATCAAAGATAAAATGTATTCAAGGAGTGTTAATGGATCAGTATTATGCACAAAAATGTTCAGGAGATGACCTATTGGTCCTAACAGATGATAATGTAGTCGTAAGAATGGTTGCTGTATTTGTACGGGGTGACGGTTTGTGGGTTCTGGAATGTGTTTGCTACAGAAATCTTGTCACCGGAAAATGCTTACTACTGTTTTTCTCTGTTCTGTGTGTGGATGAAAGATGGATATTTTAGAAGTGAATTCTCTAGGTGAGAAAGATAAACTGGCATTCAAATATGCAACTGTGTCGCCTCACTTAAATCAAGTGGCCCAAGGGCGCTGATTGCTACAATAGGAATAATTTCGTTTCATGGGTGCCTCCAGTGTTTGCTTCGAGCTCAGAGTTTATCTGCACATTGAGGATATTTTTTTCCTTTTCTGGTAATTCAGGAGGAGTTCTGTGAAACAAATTAATTTAAATCTCTGCAGGCAATTGAATACTATTAATTTGAATAATAAACTTGGCTAAAAGTCGTTCATTTCACTTTAATTTCATTCCGAAGTTTATACTCCTGGTCCCTTGGAAATGAGTCTCATCTTGTATAAATCTACATCTGCTCAAAGTTTTGTCCCTCAGTTGGACTTCTGTGTGGGAGATGGATATTTAAAATAATATGAGGTTCTATTAAAATAATGTTATTGCAATATCACATTATACATGACACTGCGTAAATACTGGCACTTTCATTTTTTTCTGTGATGGAAGATGGTGTTATTGTTTGCACATTATGATTTCAGAGTTAAATTTTAGATGAAGCTAAGGACAATATGTCTACTCTTGATTTAGAAAATATTATAATTTCCCTTAGGAATTGACTTCTAGGACTTAGTGTTAGGTGACATACCCCAATGAGTGTTAGTGAACCTTTTTCTAGAAGTGAATTCATCAAAAAAAAATTAAAAGGATTCAAACATTTCCTAAGTTGTTTTAAGATGGTATTTTTACTAATATGCACCTTCTTTCTCCTTTAGGAAGTTTGCAGATAAGGTACAAGCTAAATAAGTACCAAGAGCCTGATGTTTTAAGCTTTGACTTTAAGAGCATGGCAGATGGGCAGCTTCACCACATACAGATTGCCAGAGAAGAAGCCATGGTCTTTGTGGAGGTAATAGACATTCTCCAGGGGTCACACCACATCCAGGCATGGGGCACTTAGAGCAGAAACATGGTCCTGAATCACCCCGATGAAGACATTTTCCCTTGGTCTTCTATAGATAAAATTAGGCTGAGGACAAAATCATCAAATGCGGTCATGTATTTTACCCTTCCATTTTGTTTTTAACAAAACTATATGAGATAGTATTAATAGCTGATGTTTAAAATGCCAAGCTCTGCTTGGTTTTCTTTCGCTCGGAGAGGAAATGATGTCTAGTTTCTCAGAGACCTACTGGTAGGACCATCAGTCATCTTGGGAAACCCACTTACTTTAGATGGGTATAAATGCAGCAATCATTCTACAACAGAAAATAATGATGGAAATATCAGAATGAGTTTGAAGAAAGGATGTGATTCACAGCAAAATGGAATTATTCACCTAAGCACTTTTTCAGAAAGCCACTAATGTTTCAGCTCTACATAGAACAAAATTTCTTAGCTGCATGACTCCAGTCAAAACCCCACGCTAAGGAAAAGTACTGAGGTAAAAAAAAAATCACATCTTTTTGTTGGATTTACCCATTTTGGGTTTCTTATGTGGTAGAGCTAGGTAAAGTAATAAAGGGGAAAGGTTGTGGAATAAATGGGTATCTGTGAATATATTAAAAATGATCAGATTTTGAGTGACTACATTTCTAAATTTCACTTTCTTAAACAATTATAGAACCATACTAACAAGTGCTTATCTTTTTTTTTCTTTCCTTCATCTCATTTTTTGACACAAAACAATGGTCATTTGGATGGCTATATTTTGTGTCATGATTTTATAGATTGATGAGAATACACGGAGACAAACTTACTTGTCGTCAGGCACAGAATTCAGTGCAGTCAAATCTCTGGTACTGGGCAGAATGCTAGGTAAGTAAAAGAAAAAATCTCCTTCTTAGTCAAAATTGATAAACATGAATCATAATGAACACACACACACACACCTCGTCGTGTCAAAATGAATACTTTGCCTTGTTTCAGTTGGGAAGCAATCGATGATGGAAGTAACCATGAGTAGTGGTTTCTTATGAAATAACAATTATCGTTCTTTGATAGGAAGGCCACACTGATCTTGATCATGTGTCAATCGTCGTAGTTGTACTGGGTAGTCAACTTGACACAAGCTAAACTCATCAGAGAGGTGGGAACCTCAATTAAGAAAATGCTCCATAAGATAAGGCTGTTGGCAAGTCTGTAGGGCATTTTCTTAATTAGTGATTAATGCAGGAGGGACCATACCACTGTAGGTGGGTGCCGTGCTTGGGCTGCTGATCTTGACTTCTATAAGAAAGCAGGCTGAGAAAGTCACGAGGAGCAAGCCAGTAAGCAGCATCCCTTTGTAGCCTCTGCCTCAGCTCCTGCCCTCAGGTTCCTGTCCTGATTGCTTTTTATGGAACTGTAAGTGAAATAAATCCTTTCCTGTCCAAGTTGCTTTGGGTTATGGTGTTTCGCCACAGCAATAGTAACCTAACTAAGACAATAATGAAGCATGATATTTTTTCCTACATCAAAAATACCAAGGTAGCAATGGCTATATATCAGCTTCTATTGCTTGAATGTCATGTATCACCATAGGCTTATGTTTGTACACTTGATCTCCAGCTGATGGCATTATAACCGCTTTTAGAATGTAGAGACTTGAAAACAGATGTGCACTGTTTGGGGTAGATTTGAGGCTATAATGCTCAGCTCCACTCCCTGCTCTCTCTTTTCCTTTTCTGCCAAGATATGGCCGAGTTAGATGTCCTGAGTGAATTCATACCACAGCCACCATAGACCTTCCGCCACCACACCATCTCTCCATGATGGTCTGTAGTCCTTAAATTATAAGCCAAGCCTTCCTCTCTTAAGTGCTTCCTGCCAAATATCTGATCATAACAACAAGGAAGGTAATGAGGACGTTTTGAAAATATGCAGACTTTTACTTAACAGTGAAAACGAAACAATGTCTAGAGGAAATGGGAGGTGAAGGCAGTTCCAGCTAACGAACATGCTTTCGGCTGTGCTTTGTGCCATATTTCATCTGCTGTGTTTTATTTACAGACTTGCTTAGGCACACCTAGGTGTCTTATAGTTCTTTTTCACTTGCATTATTTCTTATAGTAGTGGCGTTAAAGTAGTTATATGCTATCGCCGGTAAAATGTCATAATACACATGCACTTACCAACGAGGATTAAAATGAAAACAGAGAAGTCAAAAGATAATTTATTTTCACTTATAAATGAACAACTGAATGTTAATAAGTCGTGGTGTTTTACAGAAGGGAGCTTCTTGTTGTTTGGTTTTCATTACCTTCTGATATTTGGTAGCGACCCAGAATACTTTGTCTGGTGAAATACTGTATTTTTTGACCTTGAAAGTTGTTTGTACCTGGATTAATCATTCCTTATGTTCCCTGTACATCATCTTAAAATCCTGAGAATGTTTGATTAAACCCATGGGTGAATGATCAAAATATTGGCCCTGGAGAAGGTTAATAGCTAAGTTGATAAATATTTATAGACTTTCAGGTAGTGTGATGAGCACAAAAATTATGTCCTCCTCTTTCCCAAGCAGCAGAAATATCCTGGATCTCAATGGCCATCACACACACACACACACACCTATCCACAACACAACTTAGTTGCTAGGAAACATGACTAGAATATTCTAAGTGAGTCGCACAGTGTTAATTATTTATATCATATCTAATCTAACTATTTAAGATTGACACATCCTTTGCTCTAAGGAATATTCAAAGTCCAACACACTGAATATAAGATTGTGTTTCTACTTTATTTTGTAGCTTTAAGATGGACTCAGATCCTAGACTAGATGTATAACTAGCAGAGAAAGCAATATGTACCTTGATCCTCTGCATGGGGATACTTACCAGTGTTACACCAAATACAATTTAAGTGTTTAGAGCAGTGCGTCATTGAATGTGGTGGCATACAATATGGTACTGACACTTGAAAGTCACTGAGGCAGGAGGATTGTAAGTTGACTGACAGCTAGTCTGACATGCACAGAAAAAGCCTATCTCAAAAGAATTAAAAACTGAACAAGAATGATACCCCTGGGCATGGGGAGATGGCCAGGGAACAGCCCCCCCAAAAAACTATAGGCTATTGAGGAAAGCTGAGAAAGTGGTCTTTTCTAGGGAAAGCACGGCAACTGATTCTCCAGTGTCAAATCGTCAGCTCTGAAACCACACACACACACACACACACACACACACACACACACACACACGTACATAAGATTATATGGACTGACTAGGTCATATTTAAGAATATAAATGCCTATGCATATTCATAGACACATGCAGTAGCAATTAATTAAAAGATGGTGAATTTGAAGGCGAGCAGGGAGTGGCATATGAGAGGGTTTGGAAGGAGAAAAGGGAAGGAAGAAATGTTGTTATAATATCAAAAACATTTTCAAATGTATTGAAAAGTGAACAGGACAATATCTAGGCCCACTCTGGAAACTAGTCCAGAACACAAGGAAAGGGAGGATTTCCTAAGATGTCCTAACCAGGCTTTAATTACGGTGCCTGTCATATAGCTCATCGCTATTAAGCTAGCACAGAACTAGAGTTAATACAGAACTTAGCAGTCTTGCTTAACTAAGGGCATTCCTGTTTGAAGTCAGTATGGTGAATTTTATTAGGTGTCACTGTCCCAGATTTCAGGGCATATTTAAATTCATCAGCCTACGTAGATACTGAAGTATTTACTAACAATCTTGGAATGCAGTTTGAAAGACTAATTTATATGTTGGGACTTTTCAAGCTGAGATTAAACAAAATCATGAGAAATCTGTTCCGGAGGTCTAAACGCTGCCTGCTATTCTTGCAGCTACGACTTACAAAACACCATGCATCTTCTCCTCCACTGACTGCTCCCTTCCATTCCTTTGGCCTTCCAAAATTCAATGTGAATTATGAATTCCTTTTCAATAAACTCTTTCCATTGGGGAGGGGGAGTCAAAAGAAAAGAAAAACAAAACACGAGTTCGGCTCTCAGTTAAAGATAGAATACATTTTTCCGACTTGACCTTGAGAAATCTCGATGCCTATTTCAGGGAAATGTTTCTATCGTCTCAGGCAAGTGTAGAGGTGAGCGTGCTGTCCTTCATGAATTGGTGATTTAGGTTCGGATGCATAAAGAAGGTGTTGTTAAATCATTTCTTTTCATAACAACAGTGTTTTATCCCACTTATAGCGACGGCACCGCATAGGAAGCCAAAGAGAATTTGAGAAAGAATGAAATCCTGTCATTTGGGGCAAACTAGATAGAACTGGAGGTCATAATGTTAAAGGAAGTTAGCCAGATACAGAAAGGCAAATGCTGTAGGGTCAGCTCTTGTATGAGGATGCTCAAAAGAGTCCATCTGAATTCAAAATAAAGATGAAGAGAGGTTGGGAAAGGTGGAGAAAGGGGCGGGGCTAAAACGCAGCAAGACTGAAGGAGTAACTTTAGTGTTCCACAGCGCAGTGGGGTGTCTACAGTTTACAATAATCTACTGTTTATTCCACAAAGAATAACACAGTGTATTATTGTTCACAGGCTCCAAGTGTAACGAAACAATAATAAAATGAAAATGTTAGACCCTTGATTTGAATAAAACTTACTGTATACATGTATTGAAGTATCACGCCATGCTCCATAATTATGTGAATGAGCCAGGTTAATAATAATTTATTTTTAAATTAAATTTTAAATAAAATTTAAATTAAAGGTACATTATTGGTATAAGGACAGCTCAACCACTGTAAGGAGCAGCCACAACAAAACCATGGCAACAATACAGCCCAAGGTGGTTTACATGTGGGGCTAATATCTTCTCTGTGACTCTGTCATGGGGTAGATGGATGGGGAAAAATGAAAGCCCTAGAAAAATCCAGGATGAGGCACAAGAGAAAGGAGGTAAGGGGTGGGGCTCCACCCTGAGCTGAGGACTGTATATTGCAAACCTCTTGGTTGATTATTAGACTCAGAGAAGTGCTTCACTAAGCCTGGGAGCACACAGGCAACATTATCCCTAGAACTAAAAGTCTACATCCGACAGCATGAAAATGTGCCCATGTTTCAGAATGTATTATTATTAGACTGCAAACTTACAATGAGGGGAAACATGAGCCAATATCACATTCTTGATATCAAGAAGACAAGATGGTTTTCTGTGCATGATATATCACAAAAATAGTATGAAGTAATAGAAAATAGTCAAAGGAATGAAATAGTTCCCAATCTCAAGAGCTCTTGTGTTTATCAGGTTATGAAAGGAGGCATATATGTAAGATGTGTAGCATGTGTGCCCACAAGTCTAAGTAATGGATGATATTGACATCATATTTTATCTTCAAATTTAATGCCAGGCTTTCTGATATAATACTATTGAAAGTAGAAACATGTTAACTATATTATGAAATAATTAGGACATTGAGAGGCATCCTGTGAGGAGGATTGTCTTAACAAAATTACAGAATGGCATTTGTTTACTTTTTCAGATGCATGTAGGAGATTCATGTGGAATTACTGATGCTAATGTTTTTATTAAAATTTCACATTATTCAAATGTATATCATTCCTGATGAAAACTTATGATTAAAATCCAAACTGAGCAATGAACTTCATAATCTAAATCAATTCATTCTCCCAGAAGTATAAGTGATCATTTATTTAACATGTACCTAAGGTATGGATCTAGATGGAGAACTAATCATTTGTAATTCAAAGGCAATTAATAACTTCTAGTCAAACTTTGTGTGGCACACGAATTCATTATAAAATGTTGCAGAGCCTATTAGTATAGTCTAGTGTAATATATTAAGTTATCACAAAATAGATTGACAAAGTGGTTGAATAATGAAGATATTAAT